AGGAGTATGGACTGCTGTTGAGTCTTTCATTCACTTACACATTCTGCCATTCTGTGAGCACTTAGTGAGTGTCCAGCTCTGTGCTTGACACTCTGTCCTCAGAGGTAAGAAAGATGATGATGTGCCATCATGATGCTCAGGGCCTGGTGGGGACAACTGACCAGGCCTCCTTCCCTTGGAGGCTGGGCACAGTCACCATTAGGGGAAGGAGAGGAGGGGAGCTCCCGTCACTGGGCTTCCCATACACACACGAAGCCTCAGGCAATCCCACCCTGTTGTCTGGGCAGCCTGGCCCTGGGACAACCTTGTGCTGAGGCCATGGAGCGGGACGTTCCACTGATTGAGGAGGGTGTGGGGCCCTGTGCCAGTTTCCCCGGCTACCACTACCAGGCATGGAGGGGACTGGAGAGTGAGGTCAAAGGGCAGCCTGCATGAACGTGGGAAGGACTGGCCAGGCCCTCAATGCCCTGCCCTGGAGCCCTGGCCACCTCAGGGCCTCCAGCTGCTGGCAGGCTCTCTGCCCCACCCCTGCCTACCTGGCACCTCTCCTGTGCTTTGGCTGCAGACTTCTGTTTAATGAGGCTTTTCTCTAGTTCCTAGGGAAGGCTGGTAGACAGGATGAATCCTTTGTCCACGACGCAATGCCCCATGTCCCACCACACTGCTCCTGTCACACATACATACAATACTAGGCCAGAGGCTGTAGGCTGAGCTGAATTCTTTGGTTTCCTAGGCCTAGCCTGAGCTGTGCTGCAACCTGGGGCTTAACCAGCCTGGCCAAAGAGGGTCAGCTCTAGCCCTCCTCAGGTAGCGTGGTTTGCTGAGGAACCTGTGGAGCCAACACTCCCCCACAACCTCGCTCCAGGCAGAGTGGGATTCTGGGACTGTCTTCCTAGAGCTGGCACCTTGGACCCCAGGCTCTGTTCCTAAGACTTCCCAGGGTCAGAGCTGCCCACCCAGCAGCCAGGCTTACAGCCCTGAGGGCCAGGGCCAAAGAGCCAGAGCCAGGGCTGGAAGACAGGGTCTTCGCTGGAGCTAGACTAAGCAGTCTCAAAAGTCCCCTGTGGTGTGGAGGGTGTTCATTCCACCTGTTGGGCCAGGGCTCCAGGCATCTGTGCCCTCAGGCAGTGAATGGTAGAATGACTGTCACAAGGGTCCCAGGGTCCTGAGGGAGTGGGCCCTGAGGCTCAGTCTTCCTGACTGCCATGAAGCCTAGTGAGGGCTGATGTTGTCCGGCTACTGTACTAGGAACCTATCAGGATCAAAAGGCCCCAGAGGTTTCCAGGAAGCTTCCCAACCTTCATAGGCCCTAACCTCTAGCTCCTAAAAATTCTAGGATAAAGCGGGATTTTTGCATCTGTGACCAGTGAGGTAGGCAGGGCTGATATTCTCATCCTCATTTTACAAGGGGGAAACTGACCCAGGATCCCATAGTGAAAAAGTCAGTAAAAGGTCAGTGAGCCTAGAGATGGGCTTCCCAACTCACTTCACATCATGGCACACTTAAAAATTATCACTGGAGTTACTGGAGAAGGCTGGAGGCCGAAGCACCCATGTGAAGTCCTTGGCATAGAGAGTGAGGAGAGCAAGGTAATGGGGTTAGAGAGGGAGTGGGGGCCTGATCGTGCAGAGCTCTATAGACCAGGTAAGGCCAGTAGAGGCTCAAGGCAGAGGAGTGATGTCGTCTGATTTGTGTGGCTGCCGGATGAAGGACTGACTGAGGGCAGGAGGCTGCTGCAGTCATCCAGGTGACAAGTGGGTGTGGCTTGGACTAGGTGGGGGACCAGGAAGGAGGAGGAAGTGGTTGGATTCTAGATATATTTTGAAAGTAGAGCCATTAGGATTTGCTGACAAATTGGATTTGGGGTGTGAGAGAAAAAGGAGTCAAGGATGACTCCAAGGTGCTTAGTCTGAGCATTTGGAAGAATGGAGTTGCCATTGAGAAAGATGGAACGGAGCTTTTGGGGCAGGAAGTCAAAGGTTTTGTTTTAGATACTGAGTCTGGGCAGCATTTAATTTATTTATTTTTAAAATATGTGTTTATTGATTTCATAGAGAGAAAGGGAAAGGGAGAGAGAGAGAGAGAGAGAGAGAGAGAGAGAAACATCAATGATGAGTCATTGATCAGCTGCCTCCTGCACGCCCCCCACTGGGGATCAAGTCCACAACCCGGTATGTGCCCTGACCGGGAATCAAACCTCGATCTCCTGGATCCTAGGTTGATGCTCAACTGCTGAGCCATGCCGGCCAGGCCTCGGAAGCATTTTAGATCTCTGAGTAGAGTTGATGAGTAAGCATTTGGAGAGGGGAGCTCCTAGGAGAAGTGGGGACTGGAGATATAAATGTGATTATCAGATGAAGATACTTAAAGCCAGGAGCTTGGATGAGAGCACCCTGGGAGTGAGGGTAGATAGAGGGCCAAAGGCCAATTTCAGGTCAGGTCAAGAAGATGAGGAGGAGACGGAAACAAGGCTGAGAAGGGGTAGCCTGTGAGGTGGGAGAAAAACCAAGTGAATCTGGCATTGTGGACCACTAGTGAAGAAACTACTTCAAGGAGGAGGGAGAAATCAGTTATGTCCAGTGCTGCTGAGAGGTCAGGTAACATGAATACTGGGAATTCACCACTGAGTTCAGCAATGTGGAAGTCACTGAGACCTTGACAGGAGTCATCTGGTGAAGTGACAGGGCAAGAGACTGGCTAGGTTGAAGGGAGGACAAGAGCTGAGAACTGGAGGCAGTGAATGCGGACAGATCTGCTGAGGTTTGCAATAAAGGGGATTGAGACATGAGGTGATAGTTGGGGAGGTTTATAGATGGGAGAAATGAGACTGGCTTGCAAAGTGCTTGGCACAGTGCCTGGCCTGTGGCAGGTACTCAGTATATGAAGGATTTCACATGCATCCACATACTCTACAGCTGTCCCTGCCCATTCCTCTTTCCAGCCACCTGCAGACCTGAGGATCCTACATCCCACCTTCCATCCCCACACATACTCCCAAAGTCACAGCTGTGTCTGAGTTCAGTGCTAGAAATAAAAGAAAGCCTGAGATTGGCACGAGACTCCCCCCAGCTTGCTCAGGAAGCCTGGCCTTGGAAGAGCAACAGGAAAGTCACAGCACCCAAGGTCTGGGGACTGCATGGTCCTGTCATTACCCTCCCCAGATGCTGCTGCCAGTGGGCTGCCAGGTGTGCCTGCCATCTCCAGGCAACCCCCGTTTGGCATAATCAGGCCAAAGTGTCTGGCCTGTGTGACGCCCAGCACCAGGGGGCTAGGGAAGCACTGTGAGTAGCATTTCCTGAGCGCCTGTGAAGGCTCTCGGATGAGTAAAGGGCTTCCTACATGTCCCTTCCTCATTACCTAACACCTAAGTCATTGAGCTCTTGGGTATTGTCTGGCTTTATTCTCATAACAACCCTCTGATCATCTCCATTTTACAAGGAAATGTCTGCTCAGATATTGTAATAAGTTCTTGAAGGCCACAGGTTAGAACTAGGGTCTGAACATAGCCCACTCTTCCTCAAGTTCACAGCAGAGAGCCCTCCCTGGGGCTGACAGAGGGAAGTTCACCTGCCCTGCCCAAGGAGGCCAGAGGGCTCTAGTTAGAGGTAAGGCATCGGGCTCAGGAAGGGGCTATGATGCTATATCCACACCAGTTGCAAAGGAGAAGCCACTGCTATTGGGACATCTACCTCTGTCTGTCTGAGGACAAAAGGAAGGCTAATATAGCTCTGGTATGTAAGGTTGCTCCTGGTGGGCAGACAGATGAGCAGGAGACTGATAGGTGGTAGTGTCAGCACCTTCCCCAAACCCTGAGGGGAAGGGTGCAGCTTATAGCCCACCCTCAAGCTTCCCTGGAGTCAGGAATGTAGGAAAGATGGTGGCCATGGCTGTTGATGGGAGGTGTGGGAGCCTGTGCCCATCTAGTAGCCTCACACTTTGGCTGTGTGCAGTTCATACCCCGCCTTCCCTATAGCCTCACCCTGGACCCCCAATTGCCAGTGCCAAGAGACCTGTGCCCAGAGATGTTAAGGAGTCTGGCTAAATTCAACTAGTGGGAAATTTCATCCACAGGATGGGAAGGAGCCCAGACCACAACCTCTCATTACTGTCTTGCCTCAGAGATGTCCCATTTCTTCTGTGCCATGGATCAGAAGTCACTTGTCTGTGCTCCCAGCCAGCAGCATCCCCACAGATGGACTTTTCTGAGTGGAAGCTAAGCCTCAGTTGTAGATGATGTTTCCAGGGCCCTGGCCCACACAGATGAGTGCTGAGGATATGCAGAGCTGGGCCTTGGCCCTGAGCAACAACTCCCTGTGCCTGGGTCGCATGGGGAGCCCCCTTCTCAGCCTGAGTCATCTCATGACAGATCCATGTGACTAGTATGAAAAGTAAGAGTCCTGTGGTACTGAGGAAACAGGAAGCGTGAGGCTGGGTGGGTTGGCCCTGGGGGAAGCCTGGCCCCACCAGGCCCCTCCCCTGAGTTAGAGGGCTGAGTGGGGGCTCTTCCCTGTGTCAACAAATCCTGTTAAGTCTGAGGTGGGACAGAAGGTCAGAGTCAGGACCCCTAGTCTAAGGGCTAGAGGAAGAAAGTTTCTAGAGTAGGTCAGGTCCTCAGACCATTTCCTGATGATGTATAGGGCTAGAGGCTGTGAGCAAGTCATAGGGCCCCAGAGAAACTGGGGGAATCTCTGAAACCTGGAGGCAGAAAGTATTTCCTGAATAGAGATGTGCCTCCTAGAATTGAGTGCACAGAAAAACTGAGCGGCTCTCCACCAGTGGGACTACTTGGGCAAAGTCTGAGGGGGACGACGACCATTGGACGCAGCTTGATTTGAGTGGTACCCCCTCCTATGAGGCCTGTGGTTTTGACCACCCCCATTTTCCTTTGACAAGTGGGCTGCCCCCACATACAGCTAACTGGGACTCTGCCTATACGTAGCCCCAAGCCCTGTGCCTTCCTCAGATCTCCCCACATTCACCCATCCTCCTCATTTTTCAGCACAACAAGGCCAGTCAGCCTGCCCATGGAGTCCCCCAACTCTCTCCTCTCTATGAACATTTCAGCAGCCCACACCCCACACCTGCACCAGCCGACATCAACCAGAAGCAAGGTACAGACCTGGGATGGGGAGGGGCCCAATGAGATAGGCGGCTGGGCCGTTTTTACAACTAGAGAACCCGGTGCTGTGCAAAATCAGGGTCTCCCAAGACTCCAGAAAGATGGATTGGGGGACCTGAGGCTACCAGAGGGCTGGGGAAGATGGTGCCAGGTCAAAATTTGAAGGCTTCTGGTTGAGGTAGGAAGCTAAATCCTGAGTGACCTCCCAATGCCAGTATGAGAGCAGGCATCTGTGTAAAGCTGATTAACTATAAAACTTGTAGCCTTTCCCTCCCCCAGTGAGAAAATGGAAAGTGGTGGTTGTGAGGCTGATTCACCTCAGCCTCAGGCAAAGTCATTCTGAAATCAGCCAGTCGACTGTGGGAAACCTGCTGACTCAAAGGGGGGTGAGGGGGGACTCAGAACCCTGGCTCCATAGGCCATGTTCCCTCAGACTAGGGGGCCCCCAGCAGAGGCCCCAGTTGCAGACTAGCAGTGGTGAGGCCTGGCTTCTCATTCCTGAATGACTCCAACTCTGCCACTGGCCTGCCAGTATCCTTAGGCAAGTCATTCAACCCTTCTGCCCTTGGTTCCCTAGCCTGTCAATGCAGCCCTCTTGTCATACTGGGATAGTCCTGAACAAAGCCATATGTCTGGTACTGTAGCACAGAGGGGTGGAATCTTAGAGGCCCCCCACAGGGCTCTAGAATGCAGTAACTAGCTAAAGTGGCCTCTGAGTCAGTCTAGCTCACTTACTCGGTCCCTCTCCACTGCAGTTCACAGGCCTCTGCAGACCTCTGACCTCTCTGGCTTCTACTCTCTGACCTCAGGCAGCATGGGACAGCTTCCCCACACTGTGAGCTGGTGAGTGTGGGCCCAGTGGGAAAGGGGCACCTTCCGTTGATTTGGACCCATACCTGCCCTTCTGTTTTCCTCCTCTATCCTATGCTGAGCACCCTGCTGCCAGTTCTATATGGGTACCAGGGCTGGCCAGCAGCTCTATCCATTCCCCAGGTAGCCTGACATACTCCCTTTGGCAAGACTGGACTGGAGATTAGGTTACAGTCCCAGCCCTGTCGCCCACTGATCTCCGCTTCAGTGTCTGAGACTTGAATGAGAGAACCTTGGGCTGCTGAGGGCCATCTGAGTATGTGAGGAAGAAAAGGTAGGCCTGAGCAGGGAGGTAACAGCATGATGGCCATGAGAGAGGCTGTTGCTTCTCAACCACCTGGTGGACAGGAGGATACTTCCCACTTGCCTCAATGCCTTCTGCTGGCTGGTCCCTTCCTTAGCTAAGCTGCTTGAGGGGCAGGGTCCCTCCTTGCCCCAGTGGTGCCTGCTTGAGTCTAAGCCCCTGGCCAGACTGCTTGGAGAGCCTATTAAGGGTGGGCCAGGAAAAGGCAGCCTGGACCCCAAGTTAGTATGCCCAACTGTGGGCCAAAGGGCCTGCTTTAGCTGGAGTTGGGTCTGGCAGGCTAGTTGGCCCTTTGCTCAGCAGTGTGACTTGGGCAGGTCTTTAGCCTCTTTGGCCTTAGGCAATAACTTAACATCAGGAAAGTCTGGCTTCCCAGGAAGGCAAGGTAGGCCAGAGGCCCAACCTAGGGGCTCACCTGTCCCTTTCCACTTGCCCTTAATCCATGTTAGGCTCTATTTGTATATTCTCCTTGGACATAACTCTACTGTGAATACAAACCAGGACTACCCCATGAGTACCCCCAGGTTTGAAGTGTGCCAGGCAAGGATCTAGGCACCAGAGAAGCATGGCTGAAGCTGGCTGAACCTCAGGTCCCCATCCTCATAGAACTCAGTCCGACTAGTGCACAACCCAGACAAGAGGCCAGCCAATTATAAGGCACTGTTAGCAGTGCTTTGACGGGACTGTAGGAACCCAGAGGGGCACCTCATCTAGATTGGGATGTCAAGGGCTTTCATTTAGGATGACCAGGAGTTGAAGCAGGCAAAGTGGGGCAGAACAATCCTGATAGTGTCAACAGTGGGTGCAAAAGCCCTTGGACAGGTATCAACCCTGTACGGACGGGGATACTTCATTTCAGAAGGGGCCCTGGGGCCCTGCTGAGCTGGCTACCCAGAGAATGCTGCCATTTACACCTCTTAAGCGCCAGGACAAGCCTGTGGAGGGAAATAGGTGCAGCACAAGTTGCCCTCTGGTGGCAGATGCTTAAAGCACACCCTGGAGTGGTCCAAGCAGAAGTGGATTTGCCTCACAATCTGTGGGTCAGGCTGGAGAATGGAAGGAAGTCCTTCCCCACATATGGCCAGTAGCCAGACTGCTAACAGCTGTCTCTCCCAACCACAGGCCCAGCCCTCCTCTCTACCCCCTGTCCCCTTCCTGCGGATATAGACAGCACTTCCCTGCCCCCACTGCAGCCCCTGGCGCCCCTTACCCCAGGTGAGTCCCCTACCCTGAAGCCAGGCTCCTGCTTCCTGTTGCCCAGGCTTCAGTGCCCACACAAGGCCATGCCCAGGCCACTGCTTGCCCTGTGCTAGTTGTTTGTCCATCCGTCTGTCTGTATTCTGCAGCACCTTGCTGCCCTGAGCCTGAGAATGAAGCCAGTGGGACTGCAAGAGGCCTAAACCCAGGCCAGGCTGTGCAACAGAGCAGCCAGGGACAGTGCATGCACACGTGCTTGTCGTCCTATCTCTGTGCATGCGTCAGTCCGTGTGCAGGTGTGTATGCACTCACCTCTGTTTTGCATCCCTGCTAAGGAAAGGGCCAGTCAGGATGACTGCCCTGAGCATTCCTTGAGCTCCGCCCAAACTGAGGCAGCATTTTTTACATGTCTGTCCAACCTCTGGCCTGCTCAGGGACCCCACACCTGTGTAAGCAGCAAGGGACAGAGTGGCAGCCATAAAACAGCAAGAAAGTGGGAGGTGTGTGAATATGAGTCCCTTTACTTAGCTCACTCCCTCAGTGACTCTCTGTGCTAAGTATGGAACAAGGAATTCAGCAGTCATTTCCAGCCCTATTGAGCTCACAGTCCAGGGTAGGAGGTATAGACACCGCACCAGGGTGATGAGGAAGCCCCAAGGAGACTCCAGCCAGATTTGGTGGGTCACAGCTTCATGAAAAGGGTTAACATCTGAATGAGGGGTACAAAGGGAACAGCAGTAGTTGGGGATGGCAGGGGGAAGGAAGTGATGGGGAATAGGGGGAAAGATAGAGCTAGAAATCAGCAGGGCTGGTCATGCAGGGCTGTGGGAAGTGGGGGGATTTCAGCAAGAGCAGCCAGGAGCACTCAGGTGTTTTTAAAAGGCCACTCTGGCTTTTGTGTGGAGTCCTAGGAGAGTGAGGAAGCCCATAGGACACAGGCTCATGAGACTGAGCTGGTGAGGGCATAAGACACCAAGGGGAGAGATTCAAAAGCTATCTAGGACTTTAGTAACCACCTAAATGATACATATGTAGATTTTTGCAACATTGTCCATGTGATGTGCTGGGAGCAGGTATTTGTATGTATCAGTGTACTTGTATGCAGACCAGTGGGGGTGGGGTATCTGTTTACCTGTCCTCGTTTACTGTGCAGGGCCTCTGTGTGTCCCAAGGTCTGGCCTGTACACACCTGGCTCAGTGTTAACTCTCCTCCTACCTCTATCTAGGTTCACCCACCCATCCCTGATGCTAGGTTCCGGAGTACCTGGTCACCCAGCAGCCATTCCCCACCCGGCCATTGTGCCCCCCTCAGGGAAGCAGGAACTACAGCCCTATGATCGAAGCCTGTGAGTGAAAAGGCACACAGTGGGGAGGAGGGTGGGGGGAACAGGGGAGAGCCAGGATATACTTTTCTTCTACCAAGCTCAAATTCTGCTGCCTGGGCTCCAAGGACACCAGAGGTGGCCTCTGGTCAAACTGTTTTGTGGCTTTTGCCACTGACCACTGTTTTTGTGGGTTTTGTTTTTAAGTATATTTTTATTGATTTCAGAGAGGGAGAGAGGGAGAGGGAGATAAAAACATCAATAATGAGAAAGTCATTGATTGGCTGTCTCCTGCACGCCCCCTGCTGGGGATGGAGCCCAAAACCCAGGCATGTGCCCTGACCAGGAATCAAGCTGTGATCTTTTAGATCATAGGTCGATGCTCAACTGCTGAACCATGCCAGCCAGGCTGAGCACTGTTTTTTGAGCCTCAGAAGCAGAGGGATTGGGTGGAGTGGGAAATAAGGCTTTAGTTTGAGCCAAGATAGGAGGGGCTGAGAAGTCCTTACACATGCTTTTCTTACCTGCAGTATTCCTGTAAGGAAGTTACTTAACTCTGCTTACCCATTTTGGAGCAGCTAAAAAAAAGTTCCATTAAAAAACCCCAGTATCCATGCACTTACACATGCACTGGACACTGTAGGGTGATAGCATTAGGCAGGCATTGGGGAGCTCCCAAGTAATCTGGACATGTGCCCCTCAGGAAGACGCAGGCAGAATCCAAGGAGAAGGAGGCCAAGAAGCCAACCATCAAGAAGCCACTCAACGCCTTCATGCTGTACATGAAGGAGATGAGAGCCAAGGTCATTGCAGAATGCACACTCAAAGAAAGTGCTGCCATCAACCAGATCCTGGGCCGCAGGGTGAGGCCACGGGCAGGTGGGCTGGCAGGGGTGGCTCCTGACCACCTTTGCCCTGGTGCAGCCTGCTGACTCCCTGATGCACCTCATCTGCCCCTCCTTCCCCTTTGCAGTGGCACGCACTGTCACGGGAAGAGCAGGCCAAGTATTACGAGCTGGCCCGCAAGGAGAGGCAGCTGCACATGCAGCTATACCCAGGCTGGTCAGCGCGGGACAACTACGTGAGTGGCCAACAACACACAATAGGGATGGGTAGGGGAACCTTCAAGATTCCATGCCCCAGGCCAGTTTCAGCAAGAAATGCAGGACTACTGTCCTGAAGGTACAGATGAGGGGAGGTGATAAACTATAGGGTCCAAGGCCTCCCATGGCTAGCTTAGAAAAGAGTCAAGCAAGGGGAGCCACCCCTAAAGGCAGGCCCTTGTCCTGTTTTCCACCCAGGATCTACTCCCACACAGAGCTGTTGCCCAATATTTGATTGGGGTTCATGAGCAGAAGGGGAGGAAGAGGCCTGAAAGTTACTATTCCATTCAAAATGGAGACCAGTGTGGGAAAGGGAGGAGGAGCCCCCTAATTGCTCCATGGTTTATCTACCAAGAACTACAATGAAGAAACTGCCTAGAATCCTAGTGTCAGCCAGGCTAGGCAGCAGGCTGCAAGTATCCCAGCCACTTGCTCAATGGGATTAATGTCCACCTCCCAGATCTGAGGATCCTCCCCTTTTTCCCTACAGGGGAAGAAGAAGAGGCGGTCCAGAGAAAAGCACCAAGAATCCAACACAGGTGAGGCCTTCTCTCAGCAGTAGTGGAGGCTCCTCTCCAGGCCCCCATTTGACAAACATCACTTCTCTGGCCCAGAGGAAGGGGCAGAGTACTCAGCCATGAACCTTCAATGCCTGGGCCCTGGGCTCTCTGGAGACAAGGCCTGCATCTTACAAGTCAAATCCCTACTTGAACAGCTATACTGTCCTAGGGACCACCAGCAGAAGCCAATTCACATAGCAGAGGTGTGGGCCCACCACACCCCCACCACCTTTGCTAGCCCCACCCTGCTCACAGCTTGCCTCTGTCAGGGAAACTTAATGAGGAACTGACCATTTGATCCATGCTTAACCCAAATACTGCATCCTAGTTAGTTCTGAGGTGGACACCAGACTGTCTGGAGATTGAGCCAGGCTCCGTGCCTGGACCCCAGTAGTCACCCAGCCTGCTGGCTGGTGCCTGGCAATCTCCCTGTAACGCTGCACCCACCCACCCACGCGCTCTTTTTCGTTGCAGTGCTAAGTGCTATGTATAGAGGACCTAGGGAACCCACACTCTGCTGCAAGTCTCCTTCCTGTGGGACTTTCTCAGCAGCGCTGCCCCCACATGTTATGACTGGGGCAGGGCAGTCCTTAGCCCTTTTCCTGAGTTTGCAGAATGGGCTTTACTCTCCATCTGGAAAAGTGTATAGAATAAGTTTAAGCCACAGCACAAGGAGATATGGGTCAGGCAGATAGAACACTGGCAAAAATAAAAAAATAAATGGATAAAATGGCAGGGAGTTTTGGGGTGGACGTAGTCCTACAGCAGAAGTAGTTGGATCCCATGGGTATCCCTGGGTTCTTCTCCCAGAGCTCCCATGCTGCAAGGGACCCCACAAGCCAGAGAGGAGCCAGCCTGATAGGGTCCCCTCTCTTCCCTAGCATTCTTCCCACTGCATCTTCTGCCCAACTGGGTATCGTGCCCACCTTTCCTAATACTTTGGCTCTGGGCACTAGGGCTCCCACTGGGGCTGACTGCCGTGGAGAAACCCTCTTCCTGTGGGGGCTGTGGGGTATCTGTGACTAGCTAACACTGATGTTACCTCTTCTTTCTGGGCCCTGCTCTGCCCTGCTGCCTGCCTGCTCGCCCTCTGCCCTGCTCTGCCCCTCTGGCATGGCTGTGAGCAGACCCTGGCTCGCCTAAGAAATGCCGTGCTCGCTTTGGCCTCAACCAGCAGACGGATTGGTGTGGTCCGTGCAGGTGGGTTTGTCCCCACCACCACCCTCCCTTTGCTTCAAGCTGCTTCCTTGACTCTGCACATGTTCTGCTGGGCCTGTAGCCTTCCTTTGGCCCCCCACCCCCTAGGATACCTGCAGATTATAGAGCCCATGCTTCCTAAGAATGTGAATGAACACCAAACACAGCTTGTAGGGAAGATCACTGGGTATAAGTGGTAGAAGCGGGAGAGACGATGTTCTAGAAGGGAAGGAAAGGCAGACTCAAGAAGGCAGTTCTGGTGCCTAGGGTCCTCTGGTAATGATGGTTTGGTGCTAACCAGGCCCAGCTGGTCCTCAGTAGCTGAATCTAACACCATTCAGGTGGCCTCTTCCCCTCCTCCTGGGCCTGAAAATCATAATGTCCAACCAGCTCCATCACTTCAAGTTGGGATCCCTGCCTGAGCCCTTAAGCCTAAGAAAAACAAGGTGACTATAGTAGCCCCTCAAAGTGCCCTCATGCTCCCTTATCCAGGGGCAAAGAAATCTAGGGGAATATGTATGTGTATATAATGGGAGGCAACCCTGTCCTCAGAGAAGGTTCTATTCTCCTACCCATTCCACATTACTCAGAGACAAATTGTGGCCCAGAGAACACAAGCTAGTAAGAATGGATGAGAAATCAAAGAATCACTGTCCATCTCTTTTTCTCCTCCTCTGCTCCTAACCTAGCTTTGAGCACTGGGATTGCTCAGTTCAAGAAACCACAAGCATTGCAGCCCCTTGCCTTAATGCAGATCTGAGCCCCCCAAGCATATGTGAAGCAGAGGTTCAAAGGCTCCCCTGGAAAACAAGGCAGCCCACAGGTCCACCACAAAAGGTTCCTGTGCCACCATGTGGCTGTTCTGGTAACTGCACCTGTCCCAGGTCTGGGCCAGGCATAGGACAGTTTCAGTGCTGATTCAGGTCCTAAGGATAAGCACATCACCGAAGTCCTGGGGAGAGGGGATAAGAGGTCAGCTAGGCCTGTGCAAGGACAGCATTTTTTGGTTGTGGTGTATGACTATGAATTCACCCTCTGTTTACAGATAACTCTCTTCACTATTCCTAGGAGGAAAAAGAAATGCATTCGGTACTTACCCGGAGAAGGCCGCTGCCCCAGCCCCGTTCCTTCCGATGACAGTACTCTAGGCTGCTCCGGGTCCCCAGCCCCCCAGGACTCACCCTCATACCTCCTGCTACCCCACTTCCCCACGGCACTACTTGCTAGCCCTGCGGAGCCAGCACCTACATCACCAGGTCTCTCAGCGGCTCTCAGCCTCCCAGCCCCCTGGGCCCCCACAGGCCCTCAGCAGTGCCCTGCAGAGTACACAGGTACAGCAACAGGAATTTCAGAGGCAGGCAGCCTAGCATGCACGGGACACCTGGCCTCCTCCAGGGACCCACTCTTTGAGAAGCAGCGACAGAGCCCCAAAACATGTGGAAACCGGCCAGGGGCCCTGTTAACTCCTCCTCAGGGTCCAGGTGCTGCAGATTTCAGAGGCTGCGTAACTTCTGCCTGAACCTTGGGCCATCACTTCAAACTGCTCCAAGTGGTGCATCAGATCTGTTATCCGATTAAGGGCATCTCCTGTGCCTGTGGCAGCCTGCATCTTTTTACCATCTGTTTTGTTAGCCAGATGCCCCTGCCTCCCTTTTCTGCTATAGGTCATAGATGGGCTGGACTGAGTTCAGCTGCTTTCCCTACCCTGCCTCCCCACCACTGCCACACAATCCCTATACCAGACACTTCATGGACCAAGAATGAGCTGGTTTATCAAATGTGAGCCTGGTCGCAACCACAAAGGTCAAGAAGACAATGCTTTTCTATTAAGGGCCTAGAAAAGCTGTATCTTACAGATAACCATTTTTAAGCTGGACCAGAGGAATCCTGTGGAATTCTCAGGAGCTTGTAAGTGGAAGGGATGGAATATGTTTAGGCCTATCACCCTAGGCAACAGAAAAACCTGACACTACCTTAATCAGGCAAGTGTGGGTGGTGGGGATTATCTAGCTCTCTAAATTACTTGGAAGTGATTCCGGAGAAATTCAATCACCTAAGCCCTGTTACCAAAGCCCCAAGCCTGTCACTAGTGGCTGTAGTCAACAGTTCAAAGAAGTCATGGCCCCAAATCCAGTGTGCTTCCCTCCCCATTCTGAGAGCCTTTGTAACAGATCCACTTCCAGCTTATCCACCTCAGTCTAGCCAGCTCTTGGGCAGTGGTGAGAGGGCAAACCAACCTTATGACAGGCAGTGTCTCTTCCAGCATGAAACCAAGCCAGCTTCAGTTTCCCTATGGGGCTGTGGGAATGAGGACCATTACAACCAAAACGAGCCCAGAAAACCTTTAGTGGTAGACTGGTTTTTCACCAGAGCCTAATTTAACCCATTTCTGAGCCAAGCTTCAACCCTGAGCCTTTAAAAAAATCTTTTTAACTTGTTTTTTGCCTCCTCACTGTACATAGTCTGAATCCAAAAAAAAAAAAAAAAAAAAAAAAAAAGGTTGTCCCAGTACCCACACACTCCCCTCAACAAAAGCCTTTAGTTCCTACTTTAGCCACTGGCTTCTCAGATTCCAAAGACCATATATTCTAGTGTAGTGTTGCAGGAAGTCCTGAGGAAAAAAGGACCATTGTAGTATTCAAAATATTTTGGTATTGTTAATACACCATCATAGAAAAACTTTAACCATAAGAATAAAGATACTTTCTACTGTTTCCCCCCCACAGCTTGAATCTGAGGAATAAGCTGTTTGAGAAACAGCATGATATTCTATCCCTTTCTTCCCAGCCATGAAACTTGGGTTTATTCTCTTGCACATGTTAAAGACTTTCAACCTACAGGAAGCAGCCAGGGATTACTCCCATCTCCCCTTAAGGGGCTTGGACCCTACCCTGCTCATGCTGGGTGTAAACTCCCATTCCAAGCCTTGCTCTTAACCCACCAATCCTCTGACCTAACGACTGATGCGGGCACAGGCCAGCCTGCTCCCCTCCCCCATAAGACTGGGTTAGAAACTGCTACCCACAGACCCCAAGACAATCCAAGTAGAAATAGGTGCACATGACCACTAGGCTCTATTTTCTCTGAGGGTTGAGACTAAACAAACCACTCCATTAAGTACATATCCTATTAAAAGGAAAATGAGCAAACAAGTCTTTTTATGTACCAATATAAAATCCAAAAAGCTATTTAATAGAACCCTTTCCTCCCAAAGACTGTATTAAGGTGCTTGAAGTATATTTTTTATATAAAACCTCTGAAGTTTGATAAGTCTGCAACCTACTTTTTACACAGCAATTTCCATCATGTTAAAATATGCTGTTAACTTTGAGACCCATCATGAATGTAAAAGGTGTCATAAAGCCACTTCAATAGGTCAGTCAACCATTAGATACATACAAGAACTGTATTCCACAAGCAGCCACTGGGCCATCATCATGCATTGTAATTTTCACTGAGTTATATTTTTTGGATTTTATGTTTTAAAATATTTATAAATAAAGTCATCTTCCAGAGTAGTGTCTATTTAAAGTAGGCCACTGGAAGCTGTAATCCCAGACTTGCTTTTTTCTGGAAGGGTGCTAGAGGAGACCAGCCATTTTCTTGACATCTGTCCCATTTAAAGAATTCCGCTCTGGCTACTGGCCTAGATGTTTCAAAAAACTACACTCTAACTAAGGCTTATGCAAGACTGGGTTGCTGCATCTGATTAGGTGTCTTATTTAGAGTACACTGGGTACATGAACAGTGCACTCTTTGTGTATGTGAGGGTAAAGGGGGGGGCTTTGGCAACATTGTTAAAATCAAACCAGCCTTTTTAAAAAACTGACATCAAAGAGGAAACTCAAACCCTCCCAGATCACACCAGCACATTCCTATGAGGTCTCAGGGTGACTTGAGAGTGCAGCCCCCAATTCAACTTCAAAAACCACACTAGTTCCACCTCACTGCCAGCCAAGAACCAGCCCTGTTTTCTGAGACCTAAGACAAGATACCCTAACACCTCCCTTACACATTCCCACACAACTGGCATATTTGCTTGAAATATAGATCTGGAGTCCTCCCCTGCTCCCACTTTGCTCAGGATATTGTGATGGCTTAGCCTGGCAAACTAGCAGGGACTCCCGCAGTCTCCCAATTTGAAGGTGTTTCTCCCTTTTACAGGAAGCTCCATGGCTAAGCTCTCTTCTGAGCTGTTACCTATCTTGAATGGCCCAGAAGCACAGCTATTCAGTGTACAATGAACCTGGACAGGACAGCCACACCTGGGAGGGAAGCATAATAGTTCTTTACGTTGTTCCAAAGAATGAATTGGTTCCGGCGTACATTTCTAGAAAAACAAAGAACTTGCCAGGCCTATATATCAAAGTAGAAGATTGGAGATGAAAAAGTAATTCATAGCATAAAAACGCTGAATTGGCTTTTGAGGTTGGAAAGGCTGCTTTAGCATGAGTTTTTCTCAAGTCTCATCAGAACTTTAATAGTTCACCAAGGGTCCTTGAAACCGAACTGGCTATGCAGGCAGACCCTATTTTTTTGGTTAAATCAACTCCCCTGGTTCCAACTATTCCAATCACTTTCTGAGATCTCAAATCACCACGGGACTCTAACTAAGGCTCCAGGCTCTCCACTGGTCTGGAGCAGCTAACAGACTTTAACTGATCATCTTGTCCACAGTGAGCATGGTGGTCTGAGAGGAGCCCTAACTTCATGTACTCAAACAGCAGGGAGTTCCCTCCTGTAAACCTCCTGAGACATCTGCAAACCATTTGAAGCAAAAAAGAGAGGTTGAGGTGGTGAAATGGCATGCTCGGCACAGAAAGGACACATGAATTTGCACTATACATATAGAAGTATTGAAAATGAGCACTTTTATGAAATAGGCTGATCCTCAGAGTGAAAGAAGAGGCTGGCGTATAGCAGGTTAGATGCTTATTAAATACTTCCTGAAAATGTCAAGTTCAGTGGTATCAGAAGGCCATGAGAACAAGAGAAATGAACAGACATTGTGAGCAACTAAATATATTTCATCCACAAAATGCCTCTCCATACTGGCACACAGAACAGCTGTATCCAACAGTGCAAAATTCTGCAAGGTAGCAATCAGCCATGAATTAAACTATCACTCAAATGAAGTCCCACATTGGAAATCCACCAAACAAGAGCACCTTCAACACCTTTATACCACCACCAATGTTCGTAACTACTGACAACAGGAAGGACCGAGTGTTCAAATCCTGCTTAGGTGTCCAAATGACTCAATCTTGAGCTAAGGGACACAGTCTACTGTGTCTACTTAATACATCATACTTTGTCTCAATATGCACACTTAGTTCTTACTCCTCCTGCCTTTGTTTTTAATATAGTGTAAGTAAGGAGCCTACTTGTAAAATTCCCCAATATTCAAAATACTTCAGTAATTTAAAAAAAGTTTTAGTTCTAACACTAAAAAATTGCAATTCCTAACATGAGTGATAAACACTCTTCCTAGAGTGTCACAAAAATCCTTTCACCAATCTAGCCTTAATGTCTCTTTCCAGCCAATATTCGCCAGCAGACCTACCAACACCCAACCTCTGTTGCCAGTTCCAGGCTGAGCCCTGCTTTCCCCCTCACCCTGGCATCCCTCCACCACCAACCAAATCCAGCTTCACTTTTGAAACTGGTTTTTCCTCATGAAACCTCTCTTAGACTCTTCCAGCCCTGTAGCCCCCAATTTGCTCATTAATCTTGTTCTGTCCAGGAACATTTTTATTCATGTCACTCATCCTCTCCCAGCAATATTTATGCTTTGCCTCTGTAACTGTATTCCAAAAGCTCCCAAGAGGGCAACTGTGTCTTACACTTCCTCCAGAGGGAAGCAGGAGCTCCACTTCAGGTATTCACCATCTGATCTGCTTTCCCTTTACTTGCATTGTTCTCCATTACTTTCCTTTCTTAGCTGGAAATCAGTTTTCAAGCAAATCCAGATAATTGAAGATTATCATCTTTTTAAAGCTCAAGCAAGTGCATAGGGAAAACATTTGACTCCTCCCCACTTGAATGTATACTGAGCTTTAGAAAACGAAAAATCAGATCTTTAAATGGAAGTGGTGACAGACAAAAGTTACGCTTTGAAAGATGAGATTCTGAAGGCTACTGATACGGTGAAGGGCACTCAGAGCAGGTCTGCCTCTCTTAGTTCTCTTTCCTGGTGAAAGCCCCTTCCTATCCCTGTTCAAACTGCTCTATTAAGAGCCCAGACAACCTACCTACAATTTCTTAATTTACCCTTGGATCAGAAAACAAATTACAGGACTGGCCAATTTTTAATTAAGAGATCGTATGGTTTGGAGTATCTGCCTGACCTGAGTCACATGCCCATAGTGACTCACTGCTACTCACCTTCTCCAGCTAGTTCCAAGGTAAGCTCAGCACTGCCACAACATCATGTCACAGGGCTACAGTCCTAGCAGTCCGCCAAGTTATAATATAGGTCTTGCTTAGTTCCAGCAGCTGGTGTGTTCGAACAGTTGTACAATAAACAAATCACAACTATAATGTCACTCAGGCATCTATAACTTAAAGGGATGCCTTTGTGAATCTTTGGAAAAATATAAAAAGTGTAAAGCAATACTTAACTTGTGTGTTAAAGGTAGATTTGTGAAGGCAAACTAACAAAATATGGGCTAGCTTGGGATGCTGTGGGTTTGGTTTCAGAGCACCACAATAAAGTCAGTATTGCAAAAATGCAAGCTGTAATCTTTCTGTAGAGTATCCTGCATTCAATTTGTAAAACACCTGTTAAGTGCCACAGGGTGAAATGCAAGAAAACAAGATGTGCCTGTAAAACCACTTCAAAAGAGGTAACTTGCTTTCACAATTTAAAAGTATTAGCATCTATTTGAGGGGCCACATCATTAGTCCATGACAATGTGAGGGAGAAAGGAATAAGGAGTTTGGTTTTACTTTTTGATCACAAGTGACATAGTCGTTGAAAAGCCGAAAAGCCAAAGAACTCTCACAGGAGTCATCATCACCAACAGCAACACACTGCAGGTAACTACTGTTTCTAACTTACCCAGGCCACGCAGGCACTAAGAAGCAGAAGGAGGATTTCAGCCTCACAGTCTGACATCATGCCACAGTATCAGTTTAGAAAAGTTGGGAAGTGAGAGGATAGGCAGGAGTGGGAGTATCTTTGAAGATAGGTTTGGCTACTATGGGAAAGGGCCACTCACTTTCCCTGGATGAGATGAGTGTGTGAAAAACTCTTGGTAGACATATTAAAGAATAGAATATAGGAAAAAAGAGGGCAAAGGATGGGAAAAGAGTGCTGCAGCCAGCTTGAAGGGCCTCTTAATACCATACCTATGATTTACTTGGGTACACAACATTCACAATAGCCTATTTACTCTTGGATGAGCAGCTCTATAAGATTATCAGGACCTTTTTGTTTGTTTGTTTAAATACTAGGGCCACAGTCTACAGAATGTCAGGAAGGGAACAAAAATTTGTACTATTATATTGTCTGTCCACTCAGTCTTAGCTATTCAGAAATGTCCCAGTATACTTTACATGTGGGTAATAAGGTTATTTAATCCTGTAATTCTAACAGTTTAAGGGGATTATACAATCAAGAGCTAATAGACTCTTGTTTCCTAGAAGCTAACACTTCATTTCCAAATTAAACACAGCATATACTAATAATAATCTTGGACTTTCAGTAAAGATTTGTGTTTGTCACAATATTGCTAGGGACATACTTGGGGTGGGTTAAGGTTTTTGTAAAAGTTGACAATTACAGCAGGAATTAGCAGATGAGATATTCCAGCCAGGATGGAACTCTGCTACCTTCCCCACTAAAACCAGGATAAACAGAAAACAAGCTTACTCCCTGAGAGTAAAGGGAATCAGGGATCCAGAAGCAGTCACAAAGATTGGCAAACTTTTAGAGTAAACATTTTAGGCTTTTGGTCAAGTACAGTCTGTGTGTACATATACGTATTTTTTTTACTTGATTTTAAAAAGAAAGGGAGAGAGAGAGAGACAGAGAAACATCGATGTAAGAAAGGAGAGAGAAACGTCAGTCTGTTACCTTCGGTACGTGCCCTGACTGGAGATCAAACCCACCAACTTTCGGTGTATAGGACGATACTCCAACTGAACCACACTGGCCAGTGCTATGTGTGTATAATTCACAATCCTCTAAAAATCAGCCCTAGCTGGGTTTATTGGAGTCTCATCTCGTATATCAAAAGGTTGCAGGTTCAGTTCCCGGTCAGGGCACATATCTAGGTTGTAGGTTTGGTCCCAGGTCAGGGTGCACAGGGGAGGCAACCGATCCATGTTTCTCTCTCACGTCGATGTCTCCATCTTTCCTCCACCGTCCTCTCTCTAAAATCAATGAGGAAAAAAACATATCCTTGGGTGAAGATAAAAAAAATTTTAAATAATAAAAAAAAGATATAAAAATCATTTTTAACTCACAGACTGCAAAAACGGGCTGTGAGCTGAATTTCATCCACACACAGGCTGTAGTATGCTATCTCTGGTATAGTCAACAAATGGGGATTCGTGTGATAAAGCATATGGGACTTTATGAAATAAGGTAGATTTGGAGCAAATAAGGGGTGAAATAGAGGCAAACTGCTGCAATCTGAGCCAGAAGAGCTCAAAGTAAACATGAAGAGAATATAGTAAGGCTACATGTGACTACAGATGATGCTAAATGGGAAAGGAAGAAAAAAGGAAACACAGGAGAAAAAAAAAAATTTAAAATTTGTGAACCATCTCAAGGCATCAAAAAAATTTCATTCTACCATAGGGGAGAGGCTGGAAACAATGACAATGCAGTTTTGTGTGCCTGAGGTACAACACTTAAGGAGGAAATCACTGGCTCCAGCCAACCTTTCAATGATATTAAGAGAAAAAAAATCTATCAGAACCCTATTGTTATGTCAGCAGCCCCGGCAGTTAGGACTGCTTAAAGTCTTCCAGCTAAAAAACCATACATAAATTTAATTCATTTAATATTAAGTGAAAAGACACATTTAAGTACACAAAGCAAATCCGTTTACTACCTACTATGTAACTGACTCTTTATTGAAAGTATCGTGCATTCATGCTGGATGCTTTCTGGGTTTTGCCACACACTTTAATGTTAAAGGTTAAAATATATTTTACATGCAAGTAGTGTAAATAGTTTTCCCCATATGGGATCACTGATTATAAAAGGATGACATACCACAAAGGTTGTCTTTTCTAACTGAAACGCTAACAACTGTCTAGTTTTATTTCCCCCAAAACCACAAACTGAGTAGTAACTGAGTGTCTAGCCAACATAGAGGATTAAAAACCCAAAAACAAGCGTTCAGATCCAGTTAAGAAAGCCCTGCTACATATGGGCTAATCAACACCAGTGGTACTCCTTGACTCCAGGAAGCCGGAAGACATCCTAGTAACTCCACTCAGAATATTTACCTCAAGTAATCAGCTTCTAACTCATGAATAAAGATAATACGTTGTTAATTCTATTCCAGAAAACTTTTGCAAGTTGTTTTATTTACAATGCCAACTTTTAAAAGGTCACTAAACTAAAGTTAACTAGACAACTAGGCAGAAGTTGCTTTACAAAAAGAGGGAAAGCCCAAAATGCCACTTTTCTATAGAGAACCCACAATTCAGTTTTATTCAGAGCAAAGAAAAAAGATACTTTTGATCATACTGGAAGAAACTCAGCCATAGGTTTGGAATCTGTACCCCAACTACACATGCAATGAGGACAATATTCTGCTAATACAATTGATTTGCTGCTGCATTTGTCTACTGTTTGTCTAATATTAACAATTATAAACAGAGCAGTGCAACTAGTATTTGGAACAATCCTTACAGTGTTACAGTGTCAGGCACAACTTTTCACTTCTCTTCACACCACTGGTTCTCTTTGCGTACCTAGAGGAAGAGATGGATATAAGGAAGTACCTTAAGTAGTCTTTCCTAAGACTACCACCTAATAATTTATTATTAGTCTGTGAGGTGGGTCAGAAAGAAAACAGATGGAAAACTGGAAAAACACCAGGTTAACAGTAAAAATCCTGGTTACCCCCCC